TTAACACTCCAGCAGTTTGGCAGTCACACAGCAAATAATTCAGTTAATCAGATAGTTACTTAATTCACAGTTGGTTAGAACACTTGTGAGGAGAATGACTATTAAATTAAGTGTGAAAAATTACAAGGTTGTTTTAAATTTACAAGAATTTTACAGGAATTATTATAGGACAGTTTTATGGGTTTTTGTTTTTAGTACTTTAAGCACACCGTAACCCAAAAATTCGGTTGCACATGTTTACTACATGGTTATTACATGTAGCGGATGCAGTAGCTCAGTGGTCAGTGCCACAGTCTTGTTATCCTGAGGCTGCAAGTTTGAGCCCAGGTTGAATTAGGAGAGGCATCCAGCGTGAAACAATCCCTAAATGTTTCAAGTGAGTTCGCTCGCTGAAGAATCGGAAGAATAAGGAGCAGTTGAAATAAACACAACAAAACATGGTCAACATGGAAACCACATGTTTCCCAGATGTCATAACTGGTGATTCAAAATCGCAAGAAAATAGCTTCATTTTCACTGAATTCAAAATTGACAATGACTGCAAATATTTCAAGACATTTTGGAGAATGTCTCAGAAACTTCAGCCCCTTCTACTTTGTCAAGTCTCACTCTAATCCAGGGCTATTCAACTAAATTGCTTCAGGGGCCACAGTAAATGCAGACCAGCAGCTCAGGGGCCGAACATCCAGCAATTAAAGTCATTATGTAAATAAATTAAGTATAACAAAGACCTGTTACCTTTGAATTAGTGACATTTCTGCATTTAATCATGAATACAACATACAGAACCTTTTGTAATAAAATTAGAGATAACAAAACAATATCAAAAATAAAAATAACACATTATTTAACACATATATTATTTTGACATCTCTGACTTGCCAAATTTTTAAACCAATTTTATTTTCACTTTCATGGTTTTATCTTCAGCTGCTTGTAGTTTTAACTGTCTTGGATGTTCATTGAAATGGTTTGTACCAGTTTGTAGCCAAGATCCTGACGTTTCTGTAGATACCAAACATGTTTAACTAAAAGAACTCATAGTAGTTTAAGTAGAAAACCAGAGGTTTGGACTTAAGAGATGAATGAAMCAATTGGCGGGCCACATTTTGGTCACATTTTGGCGGGCCGCCAGTTGAATAGCCCTGCTCTAATCATATCTGTTCAGTTCTTTTCAAATGTATGAGTGTCTCCAAGGCAGTGTGTCCTCGTGTGTCCCTCACTCTGTGGGCRGATCGTCAGCTGGCGGCTATGGCTATTATAGGCTGCCATTTTTGTCTGGACTCAGTCTGTATGCTAGCCTGTTATAACCAGACCCTTGTCCTTTGCTTTGCTTCGTACGAGGATCTGGACTCCCGGCTATAGAGAAGCGATTCTAAAATGATTGGATCGTTTGTCTGCTATGTACTGTATGTGTACGCAGCTCCACTGTGAAAGAGGCTAAGCTAAAACCGGAAATTGCGTGCGCAAACAACCCTACTGAGAGGAAATAAATACCGAGCTGAACAATACAACTGTAAATGAGAGCTGCAGACTTTGTCAGATAAATTTCATTTAGTTTGGAGGCCTTTTCAACACGGACTGGCTTCATTCACTTCCTCCACTGCCATTGCTAAACTAACTAGCAGACACTGCGCAGAAAATTGACGTTCAAAACTCCGCCTTCTGTTCTCTGATTGGCCCGGACGAAAATTCTCCTGAAGAAATCCTTGTCTATGGGGAGAAATCCCAGACGGAGCAGTGAAGGGAAACTAGAATTGAGCGGAACTGCGTAGGAAGGCAAGGGCCAGGCTACCTGTATGCACTCCTCTCCTGAAACAATAAAAGTTTTGTGCCTTTCTACAGGAAGAGTTTGCGGGAAAGAGTTTTCAAGTTAACCATTAAAATCTCTTATGCACAATACCTGCCTACAACCACAGCTGAGGTGGATCTGAAAACATGGCTGGGACTTATTGTCCAATGCTGAATTGACTGCTTAAAGGCACACAGTCAATTTAATTCAACATGGCTGCCAAGGCTAGATGACCTTAGCCAACACAAACCTGTTATTACTCAGTCAGTTTTATAGACATTAGGATAAAATCTGGTATGGTAGTAGCTGAGCGTCATCCCTAACACCTATGCCGAACGTTAACAGCGGCATGACGGCTCAGCGGTTAGCACCGATGCCTCACAGCAAGACGGTCCAGGTTCCGATCCCTGGTTTGGACCTGGGGGTCTTTCTGTGCAGRGTTTGCATGTTCTTCTCGTGCTTGTGTGGGTTTTCTCTGGGTACTCCGGTTTTCCCACAACACAAAAACATGTACAATAGGTTGCCTTCAGGCCCAGACCTCCCTTAAAAAAGAGACCTGTGATCTCAACAGGACTTGCCTGGTTAAATAACGGTAAATAATAAAACAGATTTAATTAGAGATCTTAAGATAACTCATTATTGTCACAAACAAAACAGTTAAACATGTATTTCTCACCACAAAGATAATCTTAGTTTAAAACTTTTGAATGAAAGGCCGAGGTCAATATGCCTTTATCCACTCATAATTTTACCAAACTAAGAGGTAAACCAAACTATGTAATGGACATTTTTGTCATTTTTTTGCACATCAAAAGGAAAATATTTTCCTTATTCACTTATTCTCCTCACTCACTGAACAGATGAGTGATGAAAGTGTTTATTTACAAATACACAATTGGGTATTTGCTGACTTTTGAATTAGTATTTTTATTGCTGGATGCTGATTTGTGATTGCTGAAGTGTTTAAAAATTTACAGTTCACTGTATGTGACAGACACCGTATTTATCTACGAGGAACAAACAATTCCAAGGTCGTTGTTGGGGAAGTGACATCATGGCAGCATCTTTCACAAAGTAAAAATTTCATCGTCTTGACTTCAAACATAATACTGTTTTGTTAGAATATTAGAATAAGAATTAGAAGGTGTGTGTGTGTGTGTGTGTGTGTGTTGGGTAATGTTGGTTTGGTGGTGGGGGGTCTGAGCTAGTTTGCAGTGGGCACAGCGGGGACTGGGATGGTTTAAATGCTGTTTGAGCAGACTAGAGTTTCACCTGCTGTGGTCGTCCCATCTGTCTCTGCTTCTGGCCCTGGGCCCCTTTAACTCTCTGTACGTGCTCACGGTGGTGGGCTGTAATCACTAAATTGCTGTTTTCTCCAGCTTCTACACTTCATTCCCCCCCCTCCCCTCCTCAGCTTCTCTCTGTCTCACAGTTGTTTTCATGTGCCTTTTTATATCTTTATTTTTTGCTCATTTCACTCTCCTTCCATCTCATCTTCATTATTTATGCCGAAGCCGTCTTACTGTAAGCATCCTTCAGAGGAGGAAAAAGAAAGAGATGGGGCCTGGGGACGGAAGGGACGAGAGTGGAAAGTTTGGAATATGAAATGAATTTGATTAATGCACTGCTGCTGATGAAATGATGAGACACCGGGCATCCTTAATGAGAACGCTGCCTGCCTCGCCGTCGCTCCATTTATCCCTTCTGTACATAAATCTTCTCTGAAATATTGCAAAGGATCCTCAGACATACAGAAAAACAAAAAGCCTCCTCCTTCTCCGGGTGAAAAACAACAGAACGAGCCGAGCGTTTGTTGCTCCAGCTGTTCCCTACGACAACAAATAAAAATCGTTTGAAATTCGTTTCTGCGACAGCAGAAGCGAGGCATCCTGTTCCCACAAAGAACCTGGTGGCAAATATATCTACGTGTCCTTGAGGCAAAGCGTAACTTTCCCTCATCCTCGGCATCTCCTGAAGCCGAGGATGGATGGACGGATGAGGGGAAGAGGGAAGAAACAAGCATGGGAGAAGAGAGGTTGTCATGGGAACAGACGTGGTAAACCCTTGTTTGAGTGAAAAGACAAAATGACCGAATTGTGAAGCGATTAAACACAGGACAGGCAGCAAATCTCATCTCATAAGTACACAAAAAGGTGGAGCACCCAAAACTAAATATTAAAATGTTTCTTTATTTCATGAAACTATAATATTTGTATGTTTTTCTGGAAAGGATAAATGTCCTCTGTAAATTAAAGGCCTAGCACTCCTCAATAGCACGACCTCTGGTGATCTCTTGTGATCTCTTAGCTGTCACAATATGTGTTAAAAGATGACTCAGTAACTGCTAATAAAACTGACTTAAAGTGCCTGTGACATGCTTATCTTTCAAATATAAAAAGTCAAAGAAAACATATTTATATTAAAGAAAATTAGCATAATACACATTATTTTGCCCATTTTGTCTCATAACTGGCATATTTTCTCTGGAATTTGGCTCATCAAAGTGAAACAGGAAGTGACATCAAAGGGGAACTCTTTCAGAAAAAAACTCTAGTCTTTGTTTATTGAAACAATCCTATTTAAACTCTTCTTCAAATCTGATAGTGACTCAATGTAATCTAAAGAAACATCAGATTCATCTCTACTTATTGTAGCATCGCTTTGTTTACATGCAGACATTCCCCTTTGACATCACTTCCTGTTTCTTCACATGCAATTATCTCAACAGCTGTTCATCTCAATGGCGTGAAACTTATTTTGCAATATGTTATCAGTGTTGTCTTTCCAAAAACGCATTCATATCTATTACAAAAATTTGATGTCACAGGAACTTTAAAGACATTTTTGTGTTTGCTAATGTTGATGAGCTACGGTGGCCACCTTAGATTAGGTTCACTCTAAATGTTAAGCAGTTACAGATTTGCATCAAATGAATGTTTTATGAAAGTTTCAGCCAAATCAATCCAGAGATATTTTATTAACAGACAGACAGCTGTGGCCAAAATGTTAAGCATTGTTTTTGCACAATAAGTAGCACCTGAACTACGTATGTGCTGCAGATGATTTCGTTACTACTACACCAGTGTTTGGTTCATGAGATATTTTGCTAACAAACAGGTAAACCATGTGCAGACACGTGCAAAAACACAAAAAGATGAAAGAAAGATAATAAACTCTTTTATTCAATTTTTTTCTTTCCCCAATCCAGCCAATTCCCACCAGTCCCACCAGCACGTCCCCCACACCAGGTGGAACTCTGGGCATGTCCAAAATGGATGCTCCAAGCATGCAGGACGTCTACATCCTGTCTCCTGTTTCTGGTCTCTACAGCCCCAGGTCAGAAATACACACACATGTTGGTTTTTCTGTCCTCGTGGGGACTTTGCATTGACTTTCATTCATTTTCAAATAATTTCAATGGTCTAATCTGGACCCTTTACCCTACATCTAAATTCAAATCAAATCGAACCCCTCCCACTCAAAATCAGCATTGTGTTTTATTATTATTATTATTATTATTATTATTATTA